ACCAAGAGGAGGGTCTGAAAGCACTTCATTACTTTGAGAGGCTGCAGGCCCCAAACTCATCAAAGACATTGGTTGGTGAGGCCATGCAACCCTGGCTGCTGATCACCATCATCACAGTGCAGCGGCATCCTGATTTCCACTATGTCCTCCAGGTGGCATCCCGCTTCCATCGCCTTCTCCAGCAATGTGGTTCCCCTTGCCAGCACCACCGGCTCTTACTCTGCAATGTGGACCCCAGTCCTGACACCCACTGGGATGCCAAGCTGCTTGCCAATTTCTTTGCTGCAGTGAATCGCTACAGTGACCATGAGAATTCAGACCTCTCGTTGAACCGCTTTGAAAAGGAGAAGCAGGATTACACCTACTGCCTTGAGAAATCACTTCAGATGTACAAGCCGGAGTATATTCTGCTAGTAGAAGATGATGCTGTCCCAGAGGAAGAGATCTTTCCTGTGCTGCATCACTTGTTGCGGAGACGGTTCTCAAAGCCTCACCTTCAGGATGCCCTTTATGTGAAATTCTACCATCCTGAGAGACTACAACATTATCTCAATCCGGAGCCCATGAGGATCCTTGAGTGGCTTGGAATAGGCATGTTTTGGGGAGTGCTTTTGGGGTTTCTGTACACCTGGGCCTCTGGACGCTCTAGCCTGAGTTGGTCCACTGTGCTGTTTTTTGCCTTGTACAGCATGCTGCTGGTAGAGCTGGTGGGACGCCATTATTTTCTGGAGTTCCGCCGCTTGGCCCCTCAACTCTATAACATTGTGCCTGTGACAGAGTGCTGCACTCCTGCCATGTTGTTCTCAGTTCCTTCTGCCCGCCGTGTCTTAAGTTACTTGAAGGAACTACGCTGTCGCCAAGGCTTTGCCAAAGATACCGCCCTTTACTCGCTACTGCGTCAGAAGGGGGAGCAGGCATTTGTGGTGGAACCCAATCTGGTCAGGCACGTGGGGATGTTTTCTAGTGTCAGGTTCAATGACAACCCAAAACTACTTTGACAGTTCAAGGGTCAATAGGAGTAAAAATAGATGGACATAGCTCTGTGGGTGATGTCTGCAAAGTGGGAGTTGTTTGTTTGAATACTTTGCATAAAACACACGCAACATTAAAACTAACATGCTGAGAAAGTTAGATAATCTTTTCCCCCTGAAATGCTAGCTTTCTCTGGGTTAGGAGTAAATAGGACCAGGATAAGCAACATATGGCCCTCCAGCCATTCTGCCTCACCATTGATTGGCTAGGGTTGATGGGAGTTACACTTTAACAACATTTGGAAGGCCAGAAATGGTCAGCCCCGGCTTAGAGACATATCATTAATCAGGGGGGAAAGCCACTAAATATGGCTGCAGTCCAAAGCAGTGCACTCCAGTAATGAGAGACATCATGTGGAGGTTCTACTTAGCATTAGAAAATAATCAAGGGTAGGTAAAAACATGACTCTCTACAGGAGTAAGAAACCTGCAGGTGTCCAGATGTTTTAGATTCTAATGCCTGTCACCCTGTCCTCTGGCCATGCTGGATAAGTATGATGAGAGTTAGGGTCCTACTGCACAGAGGTTGCCCACCTATGGATGAGAACATAAATACAAGTCAGAAATGCTTTCTGTCAGCAGACTTAAGTACTGTAATCTTATCCATCTCATTTCTTCAGCATTTACCACCTCTTGCCCAAGGTGCTAGTCAATCTGATCTCTACCAGACTTCTTAACAAGAAGTAGAAGTGCCTTCTCTAGCCAGCACACAGCTTCTAAGAAGCATTTTCTGGTCTCTTTTACAATATGATAATTCAGATGAACAGCAAAGCAACCCACCTTTTTCTTTCTCTGTTTTCTTGTATTGCTGTACAATGGTGCATATGCAGATAATAATTTTACAATGTATTTCCTGATGTGTAATAAGAACATTTCTTTCCCATCTGGCAGGATGGCACAGGTGCCTCATTTTCACTTTGGAGTGGGTGTGAAAACTGAACATAAGGGCCTTTACAGACTGCCAGAAATAATGCAAATTGAGGTCACTTTAACTGTCCTGGCTCAGTGCTAGGGAATCATGGGAATTGTATTTTTTCCTGAGACATTGAGCCTTCTCTGTCAGAGAGCTCTGGTGCCACAATAAACTACAGTTTATTTCTTAACACTGAGCCACGGCAGTTAAAGTGCCCTCAATCTGCATCATTTCTGTCAGTCTGTAAAGGCCCTATGTTATTTTTTCCATTTGTGATACAGATTTGGCAGCATGGAGGCTTGCAAAACATATCCTTAACCTAGTCTTTTCCTCTACCCCTTTAATGGAAGGCTTATACCACATGCCCACTGACAAGATTCTCCATGCAAAAAGACACATGGATGTGGAAGGGAAAACCTCATACTCTCCAGAATTCCTGTAATGTGCCGACTAAGTAGGTGGGGCAGAAAGTTCTCACTTCAAAACTTCAGCCATAGACTTCTGCTTTGAATCTGGGTAGGGCCCAGATGAAACCAATACATACTTGAGAACAGTAAAATGATTGTACTTATGAACTTTAGCTCCAAAGTGTCAAGAGGCTCTGTTTCTGTGTGGATGATAGATCCACTCCTCTTGCAGGTGACCCAAGTTGTATGGGTGCCGGATCTGATCCCACCAGAGGTTTGGTACAGGGAGAGGTCCCAGACAACTTAAAACTTCTGTGTAAGGAGCCGTCATGAAATAGTGCTCCCTCGGCAATGGATCTCCCACCAGTGCCATTCAGCCTCTAATGAGGCAGGCTGCCAGTGTCTGAGCATCAGTGCTCTGTTCCCAGCCTTCCTTATGCTGCAAGGACGGCTAGATCACAAAACATGAAGTGTTCTGAATATTTGACCCACGTTGTGTGAAAACTAGCTATTGTTAAGCTAACACATGCATCGGGCAGCATCTGAAGGATATGCTTCCCTCCCGCACGTGAAATAATGCTGTCTGAATGTAGCTTTTGGCAGCCCAGCTACAGAGGAAGTAAATGGAAGTGCCAGACTTCGTCCTGTACAATCCAAATTGATATTTGCAACACACCAATCTTAATATGAAGGAAGGAAGCCACAACTGCTTCTGCACGTTCCTACCCTAGTCCTTTTGCCGGCTGCTTTTTCTTCTGCCTCTGGGCTGGAGAACCTTTTTCCCATCAGGCATTTTGAAATTGCAAGTCACACCAGTCTCACCCAGTGGAGCCAATGGCAAGGGATGATGGGAGTGGAAGTTCAAAGCATTTGGAGGCCTAACATTTCCCCACCTGTGGTCTACCTGCAGTGGCTACTATGGGTGAAAGTTATGTTTGAATGCTGTGTTAAAGTCTGCAGCTAGTAACCACAGTTCCAGAGTTTGCTATTGGGGATCTGTAGCAGTTGCTGTACTACAACACCCATCATCTGTCACCATTGACCTGGGGCTGATGGGAATTGCAACCCAACAGCATCACCTGGGCCATGTTGTCCACTCTAATACATATGACCAAAGAAACCATTTATGCCTTGCCTAGAAATTTGTATCAGATGTTTGGAATGTAGAGCTTTAACCTGAAAATAGGTGAATACCTTGTCATTGCACATATACATGTATTATTTTGCTTATCTAAAGCCAGATCCTTCAGTGAAGTCGGCTTATTGACTGCAACCCAAAATCCTATTTACAAACTGTTTCCTGTCCTGTAGAACCAGTTTATTCCCATTTTGAGAATATGGTGGCCACAGGGCTGCTACAACATTGAAGAAAATTTGGTCTGCAGCTGTTTGAACATTGAACTCTACATTGAATGAGAACTCTTTGAATTCTAAATAGCATGATCTTATTCCACACCAATAATCATCTAAATCAGGCTCACTGCTTTGGATGTTCAGGAAAAGCCTCACCTTAAAAGATGAATTTTTTTAAAAAAAAAAAGATAAAATGATTATAGGAATGGTCCCTAACAAGACAAATTGAACATGTTCTGAAGTCTGACAAGAGCTGTCAAGGGCTCAGCTTTCTCCTCAGGCGATCCCATGCAAAGGAAGTTAGAACTCTTGGGTGTTTTTTTTTCATAGTTGGTTTTGTAAAATTTAATTACAATAAAGTAACTATGAGAACTTTCTGTCAGTGTTTTTATTCTTTTTGTAGGCTGCCTTATTTGCATCATCCCCTAAAGTAGTGATTCCCAAAGTGGGTGGCATGCCCTCTCCTGGGGGTGGTACAAAGATCCAGGGGTTTGGTGAGGGGGAAAGGCATCAGGGTGCCTTCAGTTAAAGCAGGGGTCCCCAAACTTTTTGATCTGGGGGCTGGTTTGCTGGCCC